TATCCATTATTGTATAGGAAACTGCCGATCAAATCAAAAAGTGTAAAAAGTGTATAGGAAACTTCCGATCTATGCTGATAGTTGCATGCAAACTAAACAAGCAGTTAGAATTTAGTTAAATGTTAATTTTGGTCCTCAATAAAGTTTTTATCTTATTCATATTTATTTAAATATACATATTTTTAATCTCTCAACTTATAATATATGTATATTTTTAATTTCTCAACTTATAATATACGTATATTTTTTATTCCTTAACTTAAAAAAAATCATTTTTATTAAAATTCAAAAATAAATATTTTTTATTTTTTAGAAATGTGGATACCAACGTATTGAACTTCATGCTGCAGTACTAGCCAAAATGTATAACTGTTTAACGACATTTGTAAAGAAAGCAAGGCATAGGTTTTGCGGAAATTTTTTGACATATCAGGTAGTTGTTTTAGTGTTTTATTATATTAATTTATTTTATTTAAGGTTGCCTTTTATTGATTAAATTTTGGAATAGATATTTTTGCTTGAGCATATTGCCAAGCTCAGGCACTATTTTTTTTAGGATGATCTTCCTAATGAAGTTTCATTGATGGTGAGTTGGGCAAAGAAGCTCAGTCAAATTTCGAAGGGCATCACATAACTAATAAAAATGGGAAAAAAATTTGAAATTGGCAAATCATACAATTTTCTTTTAGAATTGTCTTCAGTAAATTTTATTTTATTTCTTTCATTGTAATGAAGATTTATATTCTAAGGCAGATGTTGAAAAGTCTAAATTTCTGGCAAGTTTGCTTTTGTGGGACTAAATTGATTTTTAGTTGTCTTTTGACCTATTATTGTTTTGGTGTTGGAATTATAAAAATTGCATTATTACTTTAAAACTTGCATTTGCAGCGTTCGGTTCTCTAAACAACAAGCTACATCAATGTTATGCTTTACTGCCCCTACTGAGCGGTATTACTATGCTTCATTCGAGTTGCCAATTTGAGTTATGATTTTTCTCATGAGTCCAAGAGCTGACCAAGTTCATAAACCATTGTAATGAGATAAAAGCAGCCACAGTGGCCGCCAAGGATGGCGGCCAACTAGGTATTGTTAAGGTACCTCCACCAGAACCATCAAAAACTACCAAGGAAGAGTGAAGATGCTGCAGAAAGATTGATGCTTAGAGATGAATTGTTAGGAAAATTGTAGCAGCTTCTGGGACAAGAATCATTTCATTTGTGTTGTTTTATATCTATCTATACCCTGTTGTTGATTTCTGATTCTTTGTTTTCTGGCTTCACTCGTGAGTATCTATGTATTGTGGTACTCAACAATTTTGAACTGGGAAGATTGATAAATGAAAAGTAACTTTACCCAAATTGAACTAACCATGGTAGCAGCTACATCAATAAACAACTTTTCTCTTTGAAATTTGAATCATGAATTATACCATCTGCAATTGCCTATTTTCAAAATTTAAAAAAAAAAAAGAAAAAAAAAAAGGGAATTATACCGACCAGGGGAGAATAATCATTGCGACTCCCTTACCCCTCGTCTTTGAATAGGTACTTCCTTTCATACTCTTGGTACTTGGCTTTTTTTATTTATTGAAGAAAAAGAAAAAACTTTTGTGGGCTGGCCTTTTATATAGGTGGGTTGCAGCAATAAGTATGGGCTAGTCTGAAATCATTCCAT